GATCTTCATGTCTGCCATGCAAATCAACTGTTCCTGCTCATTCCCAGACTGAATCTCTTCACTCCACTTTCCCTAATTGTAGATTCAATTATTAGATTTGTCAGTATTAATATTTTTAGGCTTAGATTTTTTGGGGGGGATCAAACTGTAACACAGTGTGTCCCAACCAGACACGACGCGATAAAAAGTTTTTGTCCTAACCACCCGCGACAGCGACATGTGACAATAAGCACATGGGATTCTACACTGAACAAAATTATAAACGCAACACTTTTGTTTTTGCCCCCATTTTTCATTAGAGCTGAACTCAAAGATCTAAGACTTTTTCTATGTACACAAAAAGCATATTTCTCTCAAATATTGTTCACAAATCTGTCTAAATCTGTGTTAGTGAGCACTTCTCCTTTGCCGAGATAATACATCCGAACACAGGTGCATTTTATTGATGGCATTTTGAATGCACAGAGATACCGTGACGAGATCCTGAGGCCCATTGTTGTGCCATTCATCCACGACCATCACCTCATGTTGCAGCATGATAATGCACGGCCCCATGTTGCAAGGATCAACTGCGTGAGGCAAATGGTGGTCACACCAGATACTGACCCCCGTGTTATGTGACCATTCATGCAAACTGTAGCATCATGCTACATAAGACAATAAATAAGATTTATATTCCGCTTTTACTCAAAACTCACTTTAAACCACTATCGAGTGTTTGTAATAACTTCCGATTGCCGTCTAACAGGGCCGGATTTACGCATTGCTCAAGACATTGAGCAAATAAATATAACAAACAATAGGGTACAAAATGACAAACTATTTCCATGTCTTCCACCTTTTTTATGTAGGTTACTGAAATCACGCTTTCTTTCTCCCAGTCTCTCTCACAGACGCACACACAGTGCAGACACGCGGAGACATGAACAGTAACTTCTTGTCAGCGCTGCACCGCGAATTTATCAGTAAAATAGTTTCGCAGCTGAAAAGCTACATGACATTTCTCAGTAGGCTATTAATAGACGCTGGTGCTGAGAGACGCATAGACACAGGTATTCACACGCACTTAGTCTCTCTCTCTCTCTCTCTCTCTCTCTCTAATAACCGCATTAGACTGCATTAATAACTGCGTAAGCCTGCATATCAATGGCTCAAGCCTCTGTTATCAGCTCTAAAATGACGTTTTGGACTTTGCAATGGAAGGTTTGGGATGAGGTGCGTAAAAAAACGAGATTTTTTTTTCTCACACGAGATTTCAGGACGGAAACATGTCAAATGTCTTGAAACAAATGATCTGAACAATGTCTTGATGTGTGGTTGGGACTCCAGGCCGTTAAAATTATTAGAGAAATAATGCACTCCCGGAGGTGGTTATGTGGCCACGACTATATGGTTTGGTCTTAGTTCTCAAACAAATGAAGAACTATTTGATTTTTATTGACTGAACGCAAGCGCTTATTCCGATAGAAAAGACTGTATCGGTTTCCACTGATTAAGAAATATTTTTATTTGCTTGGGTGGTAATATTAGGTCTATTATATTAATAGGGAAGGGGGCCCAAAAATGTGTTTTTTCT